AGGGGGCTTCAAAGAAGGAGAAGTGGAGTCGTCTTCAATATTGGTAAGGTGAGGTAACTGACTGTAAGGAAACATATGTCAAATACTCCTGGTTGGCAAATTCGATGCAGTTAAACGCTTGGGTAGGAATCGATGTGGTGTGTCATTTCGTCTGAAAGCTAGACAAGAAGTGCGATGAGGGACGTGTGGGGGGGGGGGAGAGCAAAAAGCACCATATGTAGAAAACACTGAAAATTCCGTTGTGAAGTCGACCTAGGTATGAGAGACACAGCGCTGCGAGGAGAGGGAAAACGCGAGAGTACGTCGTACGCGAGAGGGCGCAAACGCCACGTATGCCGTGGTTGATAAGGATGGCAGCACGGCAGCACACAAGGCAAGGCCTTAGCGCCGTTGCCTCGCACTTTTGAGTCGCGACAGTGTCGCGCCCCTGGCTTAGAGACCCTCTTTTTCACTCCAGAAGGGATCACGTCTAACCTCGACCCGTAGCTTTAGATAAATATTTGCAATCTAGAGCCGATATACTATATCGAAGAGAGAGGGAGTATTTCCTATAACTACGTGAAACTCATTGTTTAGGTATTTAGACTGTAACAAACCTATGATTTTGCATAATAGAGGGCCTGGAGAGTTAACAGGAAGTTTCTAACCAAAACGTTTCATTTGCAATTCCTTGCCTTATTTTTGGCACATGCATCTCCTCTTAAAGTGTAAATGAAATGTAAAGCGACTTTTTGACTGAATTTCAAATTTCACGTAGCAACGTGCAGACTTCTTGGCGATATTGAATAATTTGACTGCTACGTTGCTATGAAGGAAAAACCTAACATTGTTGTAATAACAGTTACATAGACGCAATTTTCCTGCATTCTATTAAAAATTCAGTGAGATCCCGGAAGCTTCAAAAACCCACAACGCAGTTATAAACGTTAGGCACGTTCCAGCAAAGGAACCCATGAAGCACGATGAAATAGCGCTATTGAAAGGTATTGGAAGCGAAGAGTTTTTGGGAGAAATGCCCGCACTGAGGCGCGTGTCAAGGAAGAGCTAATCTCAGACAAATGGCCTCAACCCAGCGCAACTATTAGCAAAGGGCTGCGCACGAAACATAGAAATGATGGCCATCCTCAAATTGGAATCGAATGAGGTAGACATCGGATGTTTTATAGCACATAAAGAACTAGGTATAAGAGTGTGGTATTTGGAAGAACACCGTTTCAGCAAATATTAAAGGATAAAGGATAAAGCATTTGCCGTTGATCAATCCCTTTTTGGGATGCGGCACGCATTCTACTTCCATTTGTACATTCGTAGTGGCGTTTGAATGCGATGTGGCCTATACAATGACTTGCGGGGCCAGCCGATGTACAAGTCAGTGTTTTTTTATCCTCCCAGACAAGTCTGGTACCAATTAACCGACCCCGGAGGGATGGAAGGCTTGGTTGGCCCGGGCGACTCACGACCCAGGATTTGATCCCCGGACCGCTCGCGTGGTAAGCGTGCCACTTGCCACTACACCACTTCCGCCCTTTCAGCAAATGTTGGCTCGAAAATTCCTATCCACATAATAATCGTTTGCTGTTAATTGACCTCTCCTTAGAGATGCGCCATTCATTTAACTACCCTTCGAAGTAGTAGTTGTCACTGAAGGTGTGCGTTGACAAGAAAACTTTAATACCAGTCAGTGCACAGTTTGGAATTTTTATATTCTATTATTTTTTCATTTTTGCATTTGTTTTAGTTTTTTATGTTAAGTTTCCTAAATAGAAGGGTCAGATACAGCAATTTGTCTAATAGTGAGAGCTTGGTTAGTCCAGCTGTCGTTCCTGGTTTCGTTATTTCACATTACTATTCAGTACTATGCAGTAGATGGTAATCAACCATGTGCCCTGTTTTACATAAGCCGACTAAAACGAAAGAGTTCAGGGATCAAATATTTCATGTCAGCCCTACAACAGCCATCAAAGGCACCGTACAGCACGTGCTGCATGGGTGAACTGCTCAAACTCGGCGAGTACGAACAGGGATGAGTTGGATAACAAGAGCTTGAAGACAAGAGGTTCTATGGAAAAATTGAGGTTTAGGCTTCAGAGGTGGTGAAAGTTCGATTAAGCGTGATAAATTGCAAGCAGGGTGCGTCAAACGAGGGATTATTTTTAGAACTGATAGCCCGGCAATGCGCCTGATAACAAATAGTACTGAGGTCATAGAGCACATTAGAAGTGATAACTCGAAGAATCCAAAGAGCAGCAGGATATTTTCCAAAAGACCTACTCACTCTTGTCAAGGCTTGCATAGAGGGTTTCTGGCCGTTGGGTGAGACGGGGTTAGGGGTAGGAAATGTGAACAATGCGTAAGAAGTATGAGAGATAAAATCGAAACCCGTCCTGTGATGTTCTGCAAAGATAAGCGATTATGCCATTTTAGAAGTTTTTTCAAGCGTAATCTCAGCAAGGAAGAACAGTCCTATGCAGTGGGAAATGACGTGGAGTAAACACTTCTTTTGGAGGAAAAAATACGTTTCTCATAGTTTTGTGGGTGAAACTGGTGTCTGGGGGGCACCCCGTTATGCTCTCCAAAATGCATAAGAATAAAACGCCAGTGATACGTCATAGACTCATTTTGAATAGTGTTTTGTAAGAATTCCGTATAGTGTATCAGCTACCTTCAACTGATTCCTGAGCTCCAACCTCCAACAGATCCCAAGGAAAGTCCTGAAGCGAGCGATGACATCCTTGAAATAGGCTAAGATGAGAAGCTTTAGGGTGAGCAGTGTCCACACTTACTATTTTTGCAGGCAGTCCGTGGACGTGGGGATATGAGACGCTCACTAGTTCCTATTAAAAGTACGTTAAAATGAATTTCTTGCCTATCATCTTGTACCTAGTGATAGAGAGCCCGAAGGAGTGCTCTCTTCTACTTACCCTAGTAAGATAACGCCAGGAGTCTCAACCCTAAACATACCATTTTTGTCCCCCCCCCCACAACAGTTTTGGATCTAAATCATCTGTTTCCTATTGTTAGGTCAAGACAATAAGAAATTATTAAGCTAAGTTCTTGCGGCTTCTTTCTTTCTCGAGTCATCTGATATCGAACACATATATTTTGATTGCACTGGGAGAACCGAGCGATGAGCCTACGTTTACGCACTTCCACAGAACTTACTGGAAGTATATTTAATTGCATTTTAA